AAAATACCAAATTTTATATTTTTTTACCAAAACAAAAAATTATGCATTGTTTACCATATTCTTATTCCAATATCACACTATCCGGCCCCCTTTCCTCTTCCAAATGCATAGCTAATTCTCTCTCAGCAACTTCAGCTAAGTGACAACATAGATGATGGTTGGGTAAATTTGGATTGTTGAGTTAATGTAATGATATATCTTTATCATTTTTTTAAAATGTGAAATTTTATTCATTCGTTTGACTCTAGCTTTATCTGTACTTCACATCACGACAGTGCAGGTGAGAAGATTTAGCTGAGAAATGTTTGCAAAAGCAGAATGACTCATCTAAAATCAGACTCCTCTCGTTTTTTCTTCAGAAAAGAAAAACCTCTTTTTAATTGGATGGAAACTTTCTACCTCCTTGGCCTGGGGCCTCTGGAAGTCTTCTGTGAATTTGTATTCCCTTTCACCTCTTGGAAGCTGAAGTACCCCTTTATCCCTTTGTTACTGACCTCAGTGTATTGTGCAGTGGGCATCACATATGCTTGGTTCAAACTGTATGTTTCAGTATTGACTGACCCTCCTGTTGGCAAGACAAAGAAGCAATGAATAAAGGAACTGCTTGGATGTATTCCAAGCAATTATTTCATGGGAAATTAATCAGAACTTGAAGAAAGTTGCTGGTGGCATGAGCCATTCATTTCAGTAAATCTGTTTGAGGACCATTCTTCTAAAGTTGGCCTTGCCCAGCTTAGCAACCTGATTGTCACCATGGTGAGAAGCCACTTGTCCTCCATAAGCAGTGAAACACATCTGAAACAAATCTCGCCTTCCCCTATTAAAATTGTCTGAGGTCATTGAGACTGCTTTGCTTGCTCTAGGCAAGGAAGGAGTCTGATCAACAGCATGATTATCTGTGGCCTATGATAACCACTGTCAGGGTATAAAGCATAATTAGAATTATATGCTAAGGGAAATATAAATAAAATACCATTTTGTATTTCTGCACAAAAAATTTTTGGATCATTTCCAGCTCCTACATTTTCCTGTTGGCATGCATACAAGCAAGTGGTGTGCACTGTCCCCATTCTGTACACCTTGTTCCAGGAGATTTTTTTTTTCATTGAAATTATACATTGACAATACTCACAAAGCCAGGGAGAATATTTAATGAACTGTTTGGCCTGTCAGCAGACACTATAAACCACATCTACTCTTACATTAGTTAAGGACATCTTGTACAGTTCATTTATTCTAAAAGCAAGTACTGCAATTTTGATAAGGCTACTCCTTCTCAAACTTTCCTCATGTGAAAAGACTTAAGGGTGTTTTGCAGCCCAGTCTTGTCCTCCCCCCACCTTGAGAGTACTTCATACACTTTATCCAAGACCCCCGTTTGCCTAATACCTGCTGCACATTCAAATTCAACCAACATTTATCTAGCTGACACTAGGAACTTTCACACATTTTATTTACCCATTGTCCCCTAAGAAGATCAGAGAGAGACCAAGGTCAAGAGAATCCTGGGATGCTAATCCAGCTATCCCATCTCTTAAATTCACTCTATTTTCCCAGACTTCTTTTGAGTCTCATTCAAAGTTAAAGATGGGGATTTTTGCCAAAGGGGGAGGGAAGTACGGCCCCTCTAGCCTGTTTTCCTCACCACAGTCCCCCTTGCACCCTATACTCCCGCTGTCCCAACAACTTAGATTTCCCAGTGTGCCATGCTATTTCGTACTTCTGCTTCCTTTCATTTTTGCCACTTCCTTTCTTTCCTCTCTCTACTGACTTTTCTACCCTATCATCTGATTGTCTGAACTTCTTCAAGATTCAACTTCACTGCTACCGTATCTATAAATATAAATGTAATACAGTGTAATGATTAAGAGTAGGGGCCTTGGGACTTCCCTGGTGGTTCAGTGGTTAAGACTCTGTGCTCCCAGTGCAGGGGACCTGGGTTTGATCCCTGGTCAGGGAACTAGATCCCACATGCCACAACTAAGAGTTTGCCTGCTGCAACTAAGATTCCACATGCTGCAACTAAAGATCCCGCATGCCACAAGGAAGATCCCATGTGCCGCAACAAAGACCTAATGCAGCCAAATAAATAAATAAAATAAATATTTAAAAAAAAAAAAGAGTAGGGGCCCTGCGGGAATTCTCTGGCACACACACACAAAAAAGAGTAGGGTCCCTGAAATCACACAGCCTGATTTTATATCTTGCCTCCATGATTTTTTTTTATCTGTAGTCAAGTTATTTAACCATCCGTTGCCTCAATGTCCTCATTTCTAAAATCACAAAAAATTTAGAAACCTGCTTAGCACATATTACATGTTCAATAAATATCATTTAAGGGAATTCCCTGGCAGCCCCGTGGTTATGACTCTGCACTTTCACTGCTGAGGGCCCAGGTTCAATCCCTGGTCAGGGAACTAAGATCCCACAAGCTGCGCAGTGCGGCCAATAAATAAATATCTGATATTTTTACGAGTCCTTTCCCTCTACCTTCTCTCCCCCTCCCCCAGAATTGAGTACCCCACCATGTGCTCCCAGGCCAGGGGTCTACTTCTACTATTAACGGCTGTAATAATTGTTTATCTGTTTTCCTCAGGAGACTTTAACAATTTGACAGCAGAGACCACACTTGTCTTGATAGTCCCAGTTTTTGGCACAGTTGAATGAATGAAAAACACCACACAGGCCATGATTAAAATCTAAATGTTTAGTAGCACCAGCAGTAACACAAGGCACCCAATGTAGTTCCTCATATCTTTGCCAATTGGTATGCAAACAAACAAAAAAAGATGAATTTGGATGCCTCTCAACAAGGCCAAATTTAATTATGCTTTGAAGGTTGTTACTGTCAAAGTGATGTGATGTCAGAACTGGAAGAGCTCATCTGGTGCGGAGGTTTCCAAAATGTTCTGCAGGGCCTTGGAGGTTCTTGAGAGCTGCCTCAGAGGCTCTGGGCCCTGAAGCATCTTCAACCAAAGCAAATATGCTTTGATCTATTATATATTAGGCATCATGTAAGTTTTTGTTTGACTTAGTCTTTAAAGCAATTCAACCCCTTATATTACCAGGAGGGCAATGGCTCCAGAGACTGAGGAAAAGCTTGTTGACGCCAACAAAGACTTCCTCCCTAGTATTCATGTATTTAAACTTTGCAAAAACATGAGTGGTTTTCAACAGTAAATTCCTAGGTTTCAGCAGTTAACTAAATAAATTAAAGTGCCGTTTCAAAATGTGTTGAAATCTAGAATTAAGTCAAGAACAAGCAAAGGTTACTATCAAAATTTAAACAAGATGTATAAGAAACCCATTTTTTACCTGCTTTTAATTTATTTGCAATGTACCCAAATTTAACAAGACGAAGAAAAAGAAAAGTGGGAGGAACTTGGTATTCTTGGTCACCGTATCTTTCCCTGTGTTGAGGGGACAGAGCCAGAACTGGGAGGGAACTATGGAAGATGCACTCTTTCTAGCCCAACACTGTCATAGTTTTCCTTGTTAATGATTTCCACCTAGAAACTATTCTTTGTGGAGGAAGCACTTCAGTGTCAGAGAGAATTGCCCCCTATGTATAGTCCATGCAGCTTGTTTGCAGTTAATGGGAGGAAAAAAATTCTATTAAAATATAACCTTTGAAAAAGATGTTTTACTCAAGTAGTTTGATGAAATTGCTCTTCCAGTATGATCATGGTAAAAAAAAAATTTATTTTGACCCATCTACCCCCTTTTTCGTGCTTCAAAGAAATGGGCTACTGGGACTTCCCTGGTGGTCCAGTGGTAAAGAATCCACCTTCCAGTGCAGGGTACGCAGGTTCAATCCCTGGTCGGGGAACTAAGATCCCACATGCCGTGGGGCAACTAAGCCCGCATGCCACAACTATTGAGCTCATGCGCCTCAACTACCAAGCTCGAGCACCTCAACAAGAGAGCCAGCATGCCGCAAACTACAGAGCCCGTGCACCTGGTGCACCACAACTAGAGAGAAGCCCGTGTGCCGCAACGAAGAGCCCATGCACTGCAACTAAGACCTGATGCAGCCAAAAAAAAAGAAATGGGCTACTGTGCTAATGGCAACTGAATTTAGAACAATTTTATAAACCTCAAAAACCTGAATCAATATAGCCATTAGTTTCTCACAATAAAGTCCCATATTCAGCATCCCCACTTTATAGAAATGTCAATAAATGTACTAAAAAATTCTTTTTCAGTCTCAGGAGTGTTGACTGCAAGAAAAACACACAACATAGGAGTTGTTTTAGTTTTATTCAGGGACCTTACCAAGGACTATAGCCTAGGAAACGGCTTCTCAGTAACTCTGAGAGAACAGCTCTGAAGAGGTAGGGGGAGATTCAACTATATATGTGACTTTTGGGCTAGGGAATACATACAGTCAAGTATACATCTTGGTAAGAGATTACTGCAAGTCACAAAGAACAGATATCTCAGCTTAATGATTTTAGTGCTTTTCTATGTAAAGGAAGATGCAAGAATCAGGGTTCATTAAAATTCTTCCAATTGGAACCAAGATGGCGGAGTAGAAGGACGTGCTCTCACTCCGTCTCGCGAGAACACCAGGATCACCACTAGCTGCTGGACAACCATTGACAGGAGGACACTGGAACTCACCAAAACAGATACCCCACGTCCAAGGACAAAGGAGAAGCCACAGTGAGATGGTACAAGGGGCGCAATCACAGTAAAATCAAGTCCCATAACTGCTGGGTGGGTGACTCATAGACTGGAGAACACTTATAACACAGAAGTTCACCCACTGGAGTGAAGGTTCTACGCCCCACGTCAGGCTTCGCAACCTGGAAGTCTGGCAACGGGAGGAGGAATTCCTAGAGAATCAGACTTTGAAGGCTACTGGGATTTGATTGCAGGACTTCAACAGAACTGGGGGAAACGGAGACTCCACTTTTGGAGGGCACACACAAAGTAGTGTGTGCATCGGGACCCAGGGGAAGGAGCAGTGACCCAGGGGGAGACTGAACCAGACCTACCTGCTAGCATTGGAGGGTCTCCTGGGGTGACGGGGGGTGGCTGTGCTTCATCGTGGGGACAAGGACACTGGCAGCAGAAGTTCTGGTAAGTACTCCTTGGCATGAGCCCTCCCAGAGTCCGCCTTTAGCCCCACCAAAGAGCCCAGGTAGGCTCCAGTATTGGGTTGCCTCAGGCCAACCAACCAACAGGGAGGGAACCCAGCCCCACCCATCAGCAGTCAAGCAGATTGAAGTTTTACTGAGCTCCGCCCACCAGAGCAACAGTCAGCTCCACCCACCACCAGTCCCTCCCATCAGGAAACTTGCACAAGCCTCTTAGACAGCCTCATCCACCAGAGGGCAGACAGCAGAAGCAAGAAGAACTACAATCCTGCAGCCTGTGGAACAAAAACCACATTCACAGAAAGATAGACAAGATGAAAAGGCAGAGGGCTATGTACCAGATGAAGGAACAAGATAAAACCCCAGAAAAACAACTAAATGGAGTGGAGATAGGCAACCTTCCAGAAAAAGAAATCAGAATAATTATAGTGAAGATGATCCAGGATCTCGGAAAAAGAATGGAGGCAAAGATCGAGAAGATGCAAGAAATGTTTAACAAAGACCTAGAAGAATTAAAGAACAAACAAACAGAGATGAACAACACAGTAACTGAAATGAAAAATATACTAGAAAGGGCTTCCCTGGTGGTGCAGTGGTTGAGAGTCCGCCTGCCGATGCAGGGGACACGGGTTCCTGCCCCAGTCTGCGAAGATCCCACATGCCGCGGAGCGGTTGGGCCCGTGAGCCATGGCCGCTGAGCCTGCGCGTCCGGAGCCTGTGCTCTGCAACGGGAGAGGCCACAACAGTGAGAGGCCTGCGTACCGCAAAAAAAAAAAAAAAAAAAAAAGCCTAGAGATAAACCCACACACATATGGTCAACTAATCTATGAGAAAGGAGGCAAGGCTATACAATGGAGAAAAGACAGTCTCTTCAATAAGTGGTGCTGGGAAAACTGGACAGCTACATGTAAAAGAACGAAATTAGAACACTCACTAACACCATACACAAAAATAAACTCAAAATGGATTAGAGACCTGAATGTAAGACTAGACACTATAAAACACTTAGAGGAAAACATAGGAAGAACACTCTTTGACATAAATCACAGCAAGATCTTTTTTGACCCACCTCCTAGAGTAATGGAAATAAAAACAAAAATAAATGGGACCTAATGAAGCTTCAAAGCTTTTGCACAGCAAAGGAAACCATAAACAAGATGAAAAGACAACCCTCAGAATGGGAGAAAATATTTGCAAACGAATCAACAGACAAAGGATTAATCTCCAAAATATATAAACAGCTCATGCAGCTCAATATTAAAAAAACAAACAACCCAATCCAAAAATGGCAGAAGACCTAAATAGACATTTCTCCAAAGAAGACATACAGATGGCCAAGAAGCACATGAAAAGCTGCTCAACATCACTAATTATTAGAGAACTGCAGATCAAAGCTACAGTGAGGTGTCACCTCACACCAGTTAGAATGGGCATCATCAGAAAATCCACAAACAACAAATGCTGGAGAGGGTGTGGAGAAAAGGGAACCCTCTTGCACTTTTGGTGGGAATGTAAATTGATACAGCCACTATGGATAAAAGTATGGAGGTTCCTTAAAGAACTAAAAATAAAATTACCATATGACTCAGCAATCCCTCTACTGGGCATATACCCAGAGAAAACCATAATTCAAAAAGGCACATGCACCCCAATGTTCATTGCAGCACTATTTACAATAGCCAGGTCATGGAAACAACCTAAATGCCCATTGACAGACGAATGGATAAAGAAGATGTGGCACATATATACAATGGAATATCACTCAGCCATAAAAAGGAACGAAATTGGGTCATTTGTTTGACGTGGACGGATCTAGAGACTGTCATACAGAGTGAAGTAAGTCAGAAAGAGAAAAACAAATATTGTATATTAACGCATATATATGGAACCTAGAAAAATGGTACAGATGAACCAGTTTGCAGAGCAGAAATTGAGACACAGTTGTAGAGAACAAACGTATGGACGCCAAGGGGGTAAAGCAGCTGGGGGGTGGGAGTGGTGGTATGATGAATTGATTGGGATTGAAATGTATACAGTGATGTGTATAAAATTGATGACTAATAAGAACCTGCTGTATAAAATATATATATATATATATATATAATTCAAGCCATCCAAAAAAAAAATTCTTCCTAAGATATACATCTAACTATAAGGGAACTGTCTGTCCAAAGCACAGAGCATCCTGTTGTCTTAATTTCCTCTGTCTGAAGCAGAGAGTGTACTGTCCATCAGTGACTGCAGCAGGTTAGTCCTTACAGAACTGGTCAATGAGCAACACTCCCTATTCTTCTTTGTTTAAAGGAGTCAGAAATAAAAACAGTATAGTATATATAGAAACAACTGTGAAAAGGACAGGACCCATAATATACCTATGTACAACATCATGGAATCCTAGAATCCTAGAGACTCTCAGAAGAGCATTCGAGGAGGATTTATTTTTTACAGTTTTCCTGAATGAATAGGTAGCTGATTAGGCAGTGTCGAGGTGTTCAACATCTCATAAAGCAGCCTCTCCTACATGTGCAGCTGTTTCTTAGGGCATTTAATGCTGAATTAATATTTTTCTTCCTCTTACTTTTACCAGTTGGTCTCTGGAACAATACATAATGAGGTTCTATTCCCATTTGTGACAGCCCTTCAAGTGATACACAAAGGGGAAGTCCCACATTGTGGTCCTTTCTGTTGAGAGCCTACTATATGTCAGGTACTATGCTAGGCATTATCTCTCTCTTTTTTTTTTTTTTTTTTTTTTCGGTACGCGGGCCTCTCACTGTTGTGGCCTCTCCTGTTGCGGAGCACAGGCTCGAGACGCGCAGGCTCAGCGGCCATGGCTCATGGGCCCAGCCGCTCCGCAGCATGTGGGATCTTCCCGGACCGGGGCACGAACCCGTGTCCCCTGCATCGGCAGGTGGACTCTCAACCACTGCACCACCAGGAAAGCCCCTTTTGTTATAATTTTAAAAGGAACACTGTGGTTAAAAAAAAAAAAAAGACTGTGCATATGTCATACTAGTATTTACGTAAGACAGATTCTCAGACGTAATTACTGGGTCAAAGACTGTGAACCTCTGAAACATTTGCTGCCTTCCAGGAAACTGTTCCAATATACGTTCTTTTGGAAAATCCTAACTTGAAATGTTACGGATCTGATATTGCTTTTTGTAGGCATAAAAGCCTCATCCTTTATTAACTGAAACTTAATTCTTCCACTTTGGAGATCAATACCTGATGCATATAGCTTCGCATTAACCTCTAGTTTAATCAGCATTCCTCTAGATAAAATGTTGAAGACATTTTAGCTCCTTATCAGGAAGGGCTGTCTAAACAGAGAGCTGTTCGAAGATCGGAGCTCCTCAGTCCTGGAGGCAGATGAGCAGAGACTGGACAATTACTTGGCAGAATGTTATAGATTCCTTCTTTTTTTTCAGTCCTCAGATCTTTGGGAAACACCTCGTCCCTCAGCGACGTGCAAGGACCTGAAGACCCAGGCTGAATTTCGAGAGTTTAGCTAAGTGATCCAGTCCTGGGATTCTCCAAATTCTTTATGGCTGGCTGGACCTTAATTTTAGGCTTTGTGGAGGGTGTGCCTGTGCGAATGAATGACAGGAAACGCAGGATATGAAAACTGGCTTTTATTTTATTTCAATTAATTACGTTTCTTAAAACTATCCATCAAGCCCACTTGTGGGTTTTGGATACAAAGATAAATTCTTGCTGAAAGAACATTCTGGGGCGGGAAAAGGAGAGGCAATTGTGGGTGGGGGAGGTTGGGCGAAAAAAATCAGTATCTCCTAGTCTTCTCGCAGTATGGCTCGTTTCCCGTACTCCTCGACCCCCGCTACCAAGCCCTGACATCCCTTCCGTGGAGTTAGCGCCGGCCGGCAAGCGAGCAACGCCGGACACTTAGTAGCCCGGAACCTCGCGTGCGCGTTTCCGGCAGCAGCGTGCAAGGGGAAGTGTTTGGGCGCCGCACCGCCTCGCGCCGTGCCCTTCAGCACCGCGCTCGGAGGTGAAAGCTCGTTGCTTGGGTCCCGGCCGTGGTCTTGGTGATTTTCTTTGTAGTTGGAGGTCAGAGGCCAGGCCTCAAGTGGGAACGGCCTCACCATGATGAACGGCCGGCCGGGCCGCGTGCCCTTACAGTTCCTGCCGAATGAGGCCCGGAGCCTGCCGCCGCCCAAGCTAACCGACCCGCGGCTCTTCTACGTCGGCTTCTTGGGTTACTGCTCCGGCCTGATTGATAACGCGATCCGGCGTCGGCCGGTGGCGTCGGCCGGTGAGGGCTGCGCGGGCGGGATGGTCTGGGAGGAGAGGGGGCCGTAGGGCTGAGGGCCGGCTCTGCCTTAGGCTGCCTGAGGTGCCTCCGCTTTTCCGGGCCTTTTCGCGTGAACAGGCCCCGCCTCGCCTCCCTCAGGTATCCGCGCCCCCTGAGCTTCTCAGAATCGGGCCGGCCAGAGTGTCATTTCAGGAAACAGATGCAGTGCAACCCACGACCTCGCAGTGAGTCTGTGAAGGACCCCGGACTGAACTGCCTGCTCCCCTCTCAGTTCGCGCTGTGGGGTGTGCAAAAATGAGCGATCAGTCGATGCATTGCACTACTGACACTGCGTGCATTATAGCATTTAGTCTTCAGACACCTTGGGTGGCGAGGTGGGGGAGAGGTATTATCCATAATGGGGAAACAGAGCCTTAGATTAAAGCATCTTGCCCAAGGTCCTAAGTAGCACAGTCTGTTTTTAAACTTCAGAGTTTAAAGAGAGTGCTGTTCAGAACCAGCACTTCTCAGATTTAATGTGCATACTAATAATTTGGGGATCTTGTTAAAATGCAGATGCTGGTTCATTAGATCTGGAGAGAGGCCTGATGGTCCCAATCTCCCAGGCGCTGCTGGTCTGGGGACTTCACATTGAGTAGGAGGCTCTAAACCACTGGGCTATATTTCCTAGTAGATCAGTGTTCACCTGTCTGAGACCAGCAGTGATAGTAAGTGACACAGTTAACTGTGCTAAAGTCTATGGCTTTCCAAAGGGAAGAGAGGGAA